AAGTCTATCAAATAAAGAAGGATATCCTTTCAAAGGAAGTCTATCGAATAAAGAAGACAAAGGAAGTCTATCAAATAAAGAAGACAAAGGAAGTCTATCAAATAAAGAAGGAAATCCCTTCAAAGAAAGTCTATCAAATAAAGAAGGATATCCTTTCAAAGGAAGTCTATCAAATAAAGTCAAAAGGAAGTCTATCAAATAAAGAAGACAAAGGAAGTCTATTAAATAAAGAAGACAAAGGAAGTCGATCAAATAAAGTCAAAAGAAAGTATATCAAATACAGTCAAAAGGAAGTCTATCAAATAAAGCGTTATAGAAAGTTAAATAAAGACAAAAGGAAGTCAACTAAAGGTAACGGAAGTCTATCGATTAAGACGTTCACGTATTTTTATCGCAACAGTCATACCTGTTAAGTTTAACTCTATAGCACTTAATGTGTTTAGAATTCATTCGACAACAGCCAGGTCATTAAAAAAATGTTATAAGTAGTGTAAATATAACTTGAGGTTTCTCGCTTTAGCGGGCAGGTTAAACATTTCACACATATGCAATAGACCGAGGAAATGGATTGAATTCTCACAGATGGGATCGGTATTCCTTTCCAAACAAGGCTACTTTCACCTGTTTTTTTGTGTTAATTTCGATGATGGATGATGACATTGAATTTAAAAGTAGATTGATACCTTGTACACGAAACGTTCAAACTTCAATTGTTGTAGTTCGGCTAAAGGAGAAGAGCCACGAACCATCAAATTTGGCCCAGTGTTGGATTTTCTTCAAAATTGACCCATATATACTGCAAATACTTACCCTTCATAAAATAGTATTATTATCTGGAAAACATCAATTCCGTTGCCATGGCAACCACTAACAAGACCCCCTCCCTCTTTAGGTGATTTTCCTATACATTCCTATACCATTCTGCTGGAAAATACAACAAAACAACTGTTAGATGCAGGGACAAAATCACTTTTACTGTTGTGGTAACCCAATACACTTTTTAACAACTTCCTTGGGAATACAAGTCAACATACCATTATTATGTCTCCAGTTAGCAGTGTCATAGCAACCACATATCATATGTATTATAGTTTTTCCAATTCGAAAAAGTTTTTTTTTTTTTTTTTCATAATTGAATTTACATCAAATTTGATCATGTTAATTTCTGGGATTTTTTCCTAAAAAATAATTTATAAATTATCTATTTAATTAAACACATTTGTTGCCATGGCAACCACATCAGTCACTAATGCCAAATATTTCTGTTTCCTTGAATTGTATCATAGTTCCAGAGGAAAATCATTCAAAAAGATGATATGGAGAAATATAAGCAAACAGGTTACTATTATGACTGCTACTGTACATATATCAACATGTTTACATCACATGTTTTTAACTTAATCTATCATTTTACTTAATTGCATTTACAGCATTCATATAAACACTATACTGTTATTTGTAAAGAAAAAAAATATTGTTAATTTCGTTTGTATACACCAACAATAGAAAAAGTTGACACAAACAGTTTGCGTGGGTGTATGTATGGGGAACCGTTTTACTATTTGTTAACTATTTATTGGTATCAATAATTCATTTATGGATATCTTTAAATTGATTCATAAATACCACTTATTTAATATATGGATAATATTATATCAAAATGAATTCAGATATACATAACTTGATTTATGGATATCTATAATTCGATTTAATATTTATGTATGATTATAATTCTCTTACATTTATAGATAACCATAATTTGATTTGGATATCCATAAATCTTTAGACTTAGATAATTATAATTGAAAATCGAATGAAGGATATTAATAAACATTGTGA